TCTTTATCCTTGACTCTGGCTATCTTGATTATTATATGTCTTGGTGTGGGTGTGTTTGGGTTCTTCCTGTTTGGGACCCTCTGAGCTTCCTGTACTTGGATATCTGATTCCCTCTTTAAGTTTGGGAAGTTTTCAGTCATGATTTCTTCCAATACCTTTTCAATCCCCTTTAATCTTTCTTCCCCTTCTGGAACCCCTATTATGCATAGATTGGCATGCTTTATATTATCCCATAGGTCCCTTATGTCATTAGTTTTTATTCGTTTTTCTCTCAGCTGGTTTTTTATTTTTTGGGGTGTTTTTTTTTTTGTCCTGTCTTCTATGTCACTTATTTGCTCCTCTGTATTATCTAGCCTGCTTTGTACAGCCTTTGGATCAGCTCTCATCTCAACCAATGAGTTTACCAGTTCTACTTGGCTCTTCTTTATAGCTTCAATTTCATTTTTAACATATTTTATATCTGTAAACACTATCTCTTTTAGTTCCTTCCGTACTTTGATCACTCCTTTTTTGAAATCTTGATCTAGTAGGCCACCCATGTCTATTTCATTGACTGTTCTTTCAGGGGATTTCTCTTGCTCTTTTAATTGGGAGTGGTTCCTCTGCTTCTTCATCTTGCTCATATCTTTCTGGCACTGTGGCTTATGGAGTATCAGTTTATTGTGGTCCTTAAGGAGTTTATTTATATCTATCTAACGTCTATGCAGGAATAAAACTTAAAAAAAAAGAGAGAAAGAGAATTTAAAAGAAGGGAGAAAAGAAAGGTTTGAAAACAGTGTATAATCAATAAGAGAAGAGAAATTTGAATCAGACCAGCTGTCTAGTTGAGACATCTTTTTGAAAACCTTTAAAAAAGGAGAAGAGATCAAAAAACAAAATTTGAAACCTGTGTATAATCAATAACAGATCAAAACCAAGAAAAATGAAAATGAAATCATGTGGATTTTTAAAAATAATAATAATAAAAATATTTTATGAAAAATTTTAAAGGCATTAAAACTGGACACATACATAATTATTTAAAAAGTAAAAATGAAAAAGGTTTACAAAATAGAACAGATCAAAAAAGATTTTTAAAAGGGGGGGTGTTTACAAGGAGACTGTGTGCTCTTTATGATTTTATCAAGAAGTCTTTCTGTCTTCACCCTGTTTCTCAAACTCAGCTTGCTGTTTGCAGATGTCCTCTGTTGGTGTCCCTCGTTTGTGCTGCTCCCAGTGCATGTCAGCAAGCAGATCATGCCCCCTCCAAACACTGTGGTCAGGTGCTGCTCTCCTTCACAGTGGGCAGGTGGGTCACTCACCTTCCCGATGCCACAGTCAGATGCTGTGCTTAGGCGAGTTAGGCCGATAGATCACGCCCCCTCCCAGCACCCCAGTCATGTGCTCCATTCCTGCCAGGAAGGTTGGTGGCCACCTGCCCTCTCCCAGTGCCTGTCAGTCTGCTGCTCTGTGCAGCTGCCTGCTCTGCCTTGTGTCCGTGATCCCTAGGTGGGCTCAGGGAAGACCGTAAAACAGCCCTGCCCCTGCTCTGTGACAAAACTCAGCTCCTTCTTTATCTTGGTGGCCTGAGTTCTCTGAAGTACAGGGCAGAAAGATCCTATCCGCCTTGGGCTGTAAACAAGTCTCCTTCTGGCCTTTGAGGCTGCTAAACCCTTAGGTACAGATTCAGGTTTCGACTCCACCCCCGCCTGGGTGTAAAGAGCTGGAGGATATTGTGGCTGTGCCTGAGCCCTGCCTGTCTTCACTTGAAAATCTTCTGTGAGTTTTCAGAGATGGGGGTATGGCACCCTTTCCCCCAGGGCACATCAGCTGTGATGTTTTATGGAATGCCCAGGTTTTTGCCTTGTGTACCTACTCATCCAAGTCATGCAGCACCCTGCAGTCCCCCAAGGCTGTCTCAGTGCAGCTGCTCCAATCCTCCATCCCCCAGGTGCCAGCTCGCATCTCAGGCTGGGTGTTGCAGGGACCCTTTGTGCCTGTTTACCTTAGTTCTGTCAGTCAAGGGGTGCTCCGTACAAATCCGAGCCTTGGAGTCTCCCCCTCCGTCCTGCTGGCCTCTCCATTGGAGAGGAGGAAACCCAGAGAATGAGAGCTAGTCCTCCTTTTCTGCTCCCTACCCGCGGGACCAGTCTTGCACTGTTTTGTCTTTTCTTCTTCCTTTTTTCCTTTTCTCCTACTAGATTCTTGGTGCCTTTGTCTTTTGAAGAGGGCGATGTTCTGTCTGAGTTCGGCAGGTGCTCTGGTTGGCTGAGTGGGTCCGTGGATGTGAGTTTCGTTTTTTGGGGGATAGGGTGAGCTACGAGCATCCTTCTACTCAACAATCTTGGCCCCCTTCTTCAAGGGTTATTTTTGAATGGCAATTGCACATAGACTTACTGGGGGCAAACTGATAGATAGATGGGTTCTACTATTAGGAGGGAATTGTAGTCCTCAAATAATCTTCACTTTAAATGCAATATTTTTTATGATACAGATGTATTCCTGCAGAGTTGTCCTCAAATTGGACTTCTTGCAATTCATGTCTTCTTCTTCCATAATCTTTTTAAAATTGCTTTATTTTCAATTTGATTGTCATTTGGCTATGTTTCTACTTACCACTCCTACCTCTCTCTGCCTAGACATTAATACTACCTGGTAACTCATAGGAACTCGTACTTAAAAAGTAGCCTGAATTCTTTGGTAAAGCAAAGAATCACTTTGTAATGGGCACAACCATCCTCCAACATGCTGTGCTTTATACATCTAGATATTCCTATAGAGTGTTCTGTTAAAACAGAATGTGTCTGAATATGGATTAGCATGTCAAATCCAGCAGTCAAAAATTATTTTCAAAGATCTGAAACAAATTATGTCCAAGATTCAGCTTATCTTTCCATACAATTTTAAATCCAGATTTAGAAAAAGAATGGCAGTTTCCTGCAGACAATTTTTTCCAGTCATAATAAAGATTAATAGAGAGCAGTTTTAAGCTCCACATAAATATTTTGGTTGCTTTTGCATAAGCTCAACCAAAGGAAACCACTTCTTCGTATAGTGCCCATTTCTGACTTAAAAATTCTAAACAACTTGGGGTATAGAATTTAGATTATATCTAATGCCTTGTACACTTCCCTATCTGTAAAACTTAAATGTTTCTATATTATGCAAATAGCTTCCATACCAAATAAAGATGAATTTCTGCAAAACCTTAGTCCATATTTGAACTTGAGTCTTATTCCAGAGCATTATTTTGAAAACATATTTTCTAAGACAAATCCAAATCAAAAAGGACAATTTCAGATCATGTGTACCAAAGGCACTAGGTTTAAGTACCCTAATTATAATTGCCTTCCATTGTATAACAATCATTTTTTTTATAGCACGTATTTGTTAGATGGGTATTGCCTCTCCTATGGTTTTTCTCAGAGGAAATTGATAGTGGTATGCTAGAAGCCACCAAGATAATTCTCTGCCACAGGTCTTATCAAGTGTGGATAATATTTGCTTTCTTCTTTGCTTTACTCTCCCTTCTGTGTGGACCTTCAGAGTTAAACATTTTACAACATTTTCTTATCAGTAAAAATCCAAATTCGCACGGTATGCAAATACATTCACAAACACATATTTACACAGTTGTGGTTTGGGAGGTGCTAATGATGAAATTTCCCAGATGTGTTTACTGAGTTCAAGTTTTGTGCTTCCAAGTATCATAATTCAACATGCATATCCTGATCCTGAGCATCAAAATAAATCTGATTATGAGACAGGAGTGTTTCAAAACAAAAACAAAAACAAAAACAAAAACAAAAACAAAAACAAGGGCAGGAATAATACTGGGCCTGAGGAAGGATTTGATCGTGGAATTAGAAAGCTCTCAGAAACCAATTGTAGGTTCACCTGGCAGTTCTGTGTCTCATCACTGCTTCTTTCTTTGCAAACTGACTTTGTTTTCCTAGCCACATGGTAGAAAATACAGCTGGCCATAGCTAAAGAGATTTTGTGGTATGGGTTGGCCATTCAGAAAGTCAAACCCTTTATGAGTCCCAATTCCAAAGTGGGTTAGGAGCATGTCCCTACCCCAGATAGAAACTACTCTGGCCAGAGGAGCAGGGTTATGCAGGAGAGGGGTGGCCATGAGCCAGGTGTTTAGGTGCTAGAGATGCAAGGATGAATAGCAGGGCCCCTGCCCTCACTGTCTAGGCGAGAGAAATGAAATGAGCAAACTTGGATTCCAATGAGATAAGGGCTTTATGAACAGTTCTGTGGGGGGCACAGAGGGAAAAATAACTTTGCCACATGGAGATGCCCAAATGTTAGCAGTTGAAGTAACACTAAATCTAGGTTTTAAAGGAGAATAGAAGGGGCAGGGGGCAGGGGTGATGGTGGTAGCAGAGAGGCCAGGAAATTCCAGAAGAAGAAATAAGAGTTTGAAGATACTGAGAAGTTCATTGTGACTGAAGAATAGAGTGTGAGGTTGGGAGGGAGATGGAATGATAGATGAAACCAAAGAGGAACATTGTGTTTTCTGGAGGGTGTGGTTTCATATGCTATGCTAAAGAGGTCAGACTGCATTTTTCCATGTTATGTAAGCATGAGAAGGAATCCACACAGTGGTTTCTGCCTCAATAGGTTATTAGAATAAAATGAAGAGCTTGGTGTCAGGAAGACTAATTGTAATAATTAATCTGAAAGTGAATGAGAACAGTGGGTTGTGGGAATAGAGGAGGAGGCTGTGATCAGGAAGACATTCTAAGATAAAATCAACAAGATACCGTGCTCAACTGAATGAAGGAGTTGAAGAAGTGAGGAGTTGTAATTTAACATGTATGTAAGCAAGATGAATAGATAGTTTGATTCTACTGTGTCAACTAGCTTGATTGTAAAAAACTGTCCACATTTCACTTGACTTACTCATTTCTTCATCAGTAGCTCTATTTGGATAAAAACAACTGGTGTGATCTCCACTCATTAGTAGCTTTTTTTAAAATTGAAGTATTGTTCATTTACAATATTATATTAGTTTCCAATGTATAACATAGTGACTCAGTATTTTTATAGATTATACTCCATTTAAAGTTATTACAAAATAATTCCTTGTTGCTTATTTTATACATAGTAGTTTGTATCCCTTAATTCCATACCCCTATCTTGCCCCTCCCCCATCCTTCTTCTCACTGGTAGCTAGTTTGCTTTCTATATCTGAGTCTGTCTCTGTTTTTATATACATAATTTCTTTTATTTTTAGATTTTGCATGTAAGTAATATAGAATATTTGCTTTTCTTGAACTTTTTTCACTAAGCATAATATTCTCTAGGTTCATCAGTGCTGTTGCAAATGGCAGAATTTCATGCTTTTTGTGGCTGAGTAATATTCCATTGTGTGTTTGTGTGTATCACATCTTCTTTATTCATTCATATATTAGTGGACACTTAGGTGGCTTCCATGTCTTGGCTATTGTAAATAGTGCTGCTATGAACATTGTGGTGCACATATCTTTTCAAACTAGTATTTTCTTTGGATACATACCCAGTAGTGGAATTGCTGAATCATATGGTAGCTCTATTTTTAGTTTTTTTGAGAAGCCTCCATACTGTTTTCCAGTGCCTGCACTAACAATCTCACCAACAGTGTACTTGAGTTCCCTTTTCTCCATATCCTTACCAACATTTGTTATCTGTTGAGATTTTGATGATAGCCATTTGACAGGTGTGAAGTGGTATCTCATTGCGGTTTTGATTTGCATTTTCTGATTAGTGATGTTGAACTTTTTTTTCCTGTGCCTGTGGGCCATCTGTGTATCTTCTTTGTAAAAATGTCTATTCAGATCTTCTGTCCATTTTAAAAACATTTGTTTTGGTGGGGGGAGAAGTAATTAGTTTTATTTATTTGTTTGTTTGTTTGTTTGTTTATAAATGGAAGTACTGGGGATTGAACCCTGGACCTCGTGCATGCTAAGCACGCACTTTACCACTGAGCTATACCCTCCCACTCCTTCTGCCCATTTTTTTAATCGAGTGGTTTGTTTCTTTGTTATTGAGTTTATGACCTGTTTATGTAACTTGGATAAATGATATGGCAACTTCTTGTAGGTCACATCATTTACAAATATTTTCTCCCATTTAGTAGGATGACCTTTCGTCTTGTTGATGGTTTCCTTTGCCGTGCAAAAGCTTTTTAGTTAAACCTAGTCCCATTTGTTTGTTTGCTTTTGTTTCTCTTTGCTGAGGGGACAGATCCAAAGAAATACTGCTAAGACTGATGTCAAAGAGTATACTGCCTATGTTGTCTTCTAGTTTTATGTTTTCATGTCTTACAGTTAAGTCCTTAATCCATTTTGAGATTATTTTTTATATGGTGTGAGAAAGCAGTCCAGTTTCCTCAACATCATTTATCAAAGAGGCTTTTTTCTCCCCATTGTATATTCTTGCCTCCTTTGTCATAGCTTAACTGACCACATAAGTGTGGGTTTATTTCTGGGCTCTCTATCCTGTTCCATTTATCTGTGTGTCTATTTTTGTGCCAGTACCATGCTGTTTTGATTACAGTAGCTTTGAAATATAATTTGAAATTGGGAGTGTCATACCTCCAGTTTTGCTCTTCTTTCCTAAGATTGTTTTGGCTATTTGGGGTCTTTTGTGTTTCCATACATATGTGTGTATTATCTGTTCTAGTTTTGTTAAAAATGCCATTGGTGGTTTGAAAGGGGTTGCATGCAGAGGGTATTATCAAGAGAAGTAATAAGTGAGTCAGGAAATACAAATACTGTATTATTTCACTTATATGTGGAATCTAAAAAACAAAAGAAGAAACATAACAAAGCACAAAATAGACTTACAGTTACAGAGAACAAATAGGTAGTTGCCAGAGAGGAGGAAGTGTGTGAGGGACACGAGTGAAATCGGTGAGGGAGATTAAGAAGTACAAATTTCCAGTTATAAAATAAATGAGTCACAGGGAAGACATGTACAACATGGGGAATACAGTCAATAATACTGTAATAACTTTATATGGTGACAGATGGTGGGTATCATGGTGATCATTTTGTAATGTACAGAAATATGGAATCACATGTTGTGTACCTGGAGCTAACATAGTGCTGTAGGTCAATTATAGTTCAATTAAAAATAATAAAAATAAGAGGAAAATGCTATGTTGATAAGATGAAGACGAGTAATAATATCTAATATATATTAGAATGTGACTAGAAAGTTAATAGCTAGTATTTCATCTCTTCAAGCTCTACAAGTCCTCTGCTGAATTGGTATAGTCTTTTTTTATTATTGAAGTATAGTCATTTATAGTGTGTCAATTTCTGGTGTACAGCACAGTGTCCCAGTCATGTATATATGTACGTATATTCATTTTCATATTCTTAGTCTTGCTATTTTTCCACACATCAAAGTCCGGACTAGAATAATTCACTAATGCTTCTATTAGTGAATTAGTGAATGTGTCCATCTCTAAAGAGTATTTCTTTTAGGGGTCAACCATCTCATTGATAGGAGGAGGATTTACACATGCAAGTCTTTTTAACATTAATAGGAGTTACCAGCATAAATCCTCCAGTAGTGATGCGCAAAAAGACCCTACAGTCTACTAGGATTCAAGTTCTAATGATTACCTGTCAAATGGTCCTAAGAGTCATCATCACCAGAAAAAGCAGACGTGGCAACTTGTATGGGAAGGACATCTCACTGCAGTCCCACAGCTAAACTGTGTTAATGGAAAAAAAGTGGCCTTCAAAATGTGACCTAGGATGTTAAGTGTTAAGCCTCTTGCATTTTTAAAAAGCCATCATTAAAGAGGAGAATTCAAACATATCAAAGCACTTGCTTAAAAAAAAGTGTGAATATTATATGAGCTCCAAGGTGCTTGAAGGATAATACAGCTACTTGTTTAAAAATTCAATTAACCTTATCTTTCTTAAACTTGATTTATTAATAATCTCATAGATAAATTGCCAGTTTTGAAAGAGTGCTGTTATCTTTTGAATACGTCCTGTCTGAGAAGCTTTAGAAACTACTTGGAATTGACAGAAAATGTCACTCTGCTTTAATTATTTGATTAAAGAACAAATCATAGTTCAATGAATGGTTTCTGCATGAAAAGAGCATCAGCAGTCTTTTGTCTGTTACAAGCATGCTGCTGGGGACTCAACCACCACAGAGAAAAACATTTCAGGTTCTCATACACTAACTGAGATGTGAAAACAGTTTGTAGGTAATGTATTGCAAAGCCACATCCCATGCCTCAGAACACTGATTTTAAACAGAAGGAGGTCTGACGCTGGCATCTAGAACAGTTTGCTAACTAAATCGCACCCACGTAGCATTTGATTGCCTTTCTCACAAACCTGACACCGGTGGCGAATGTCTAGAAACAAAGCCACCCATAGAGCTGGACAATTAACTATGCGTTTAAATAATAGACTGATATCAACAAATAAATCAGTTCCAAGACAATCTTTAATTTCTCGGCATATATACAAAATTTTAATGTTAAAAAATAGGATACCACGCCTGAAAGGCATTAAAAAACACTTTATTTCCTCTGAAGGCTTACTGTTACAGTGTGCAAATTTTGAAGTCATATAGTCATGCTTTTTGAAATCCATATAAGAAAATCAACTATGAGTAGAGAGAAATGATTCAATACCAATAGCAGTAAATATCTTACTTGTAAGCAAACTGTTTTAAAGGCTTACTACTATTCAGCAATGAAATTTCAACAAATTATTCTGAGGTTTTTAGGACTTTAGACAGAGAATTGCTTTCTCTGGAACTACAGCTGAGACAGAAGTTAGTCACTAACATAGCCATTATTTTAGATAAAGGGCTGCCAATCTCAGAAACTACTATTCTAGAAGTGAACTGTTAACATGACCATTTTACTATGAGTAACTAAACATTATAGAAGATGGGGAAATTATAGCTCAGTTTTCCTATAGAAAAATATATGTGTATAATATATATATATTTGTTTTTCTGGGCAGGCATACCGACTAGACAAAAATACAGTAGCAACATAGGGTTAGTAATTATTTTTCATCTTGATCACTAAACAGAACAGTATTATCATTTTTGGTTAATAAGAAGCATGCATATAAACATTTTAAACATATGATCAAAATTCTTTGATAATAGCAATTTTCAAAATTTAAAATTAGCTAGTGAAATTTCTGCAACATATAAATTTTATTCTTATGACTTCAGGCTTACAGTTTTAAAACAAAACTGAAAGGTTTTTATTTGACTTAAAGCTACAAAAAGAAATATTTGCAGTAATTAAGATAGTTGAAAATAATGCTCTTAGAATAATTTCTATTACATTCTGAGGCAACATGAAATATCTAAAGTTCTCTAATACAAGGTTTTTAACAGTTGTGTAATATCTTAATCATCACTAATCATATTCAGGAGCTTTTAAACATTTCAACAGTATTTAATAAATAACCTGGAAGAGAGATTCTGATGCTGGCTAATGGATGAAATAAGGTACAGTATGGACTAGGTCAGGAGATCACAGAATATTCCCTTCATTGTTCTATATATGGAGAGCTGCAGTAAAGCTATCAGAATTTTTCTAGCTATTCTGGGTCTACCCTGATTGGCTGTTTACATAAGTGTGCATGCTGCATTCAAGAGGCTTTAACTCGAAGACTAACCAAGTACAATATCTCAGTTGGTGCTACTGACTTGCAATTGTATTCAGACTCAATACTCTCAATACAGTGGAACTGTTTATATTGCTGGTACTGCGGGGCAGAGCCAATACCTGGTGCTTATAGGTATATATTGTGCATTTAGTACATGCCATAGTTGGGTTTCAGAAAACACGACTTAAAATTGATCAGAATCCATATAACAAAGTAGGTTATAATGTGATTCTACTGTCCCTGATTTGTATAACATTATAAAAGGGGAAGAGAAGGATAGAGGGGATTAAAGCGACAGAGGAGAGGCTGTACACTTGAGAGAGGGGTTAGGGTAGCCTGAGAGGCTAGGAAGGTTTTCCTTTCCTCTGGATTTGGCTCTATCTGCAGGGGGTTTGAAAGGTGAGACAGGAGCTACATTCCTTGATGCTTTCCATTTCTCATGAGTCTGTGACCTGACACAGCTGGCATCCTTTAAGATCTGTGAAATCTGGAGAGGTCAGAGCCCGGCTGCAGCTGAAGTATCTCAGTAAGAACTATGTGCTTTCTATTTGTAGCCATGGCTCTCTGATCTGCAATATAGGCCAGACTGCACGACAATAAAACTTTTTATGTATCTATTTATTGAAATAAGTTGTTCTGTCCAAACTATTGCTCAAAAAAGGTAAACCATCAGAGCGTGGCATTTGGAAAAATGTTAGTATTTTTATAGGCACTGTCACTGTAACTAGATTTGCCACCTACATACAGCCCTTACATTTGTATGTTAAGTGCATATTCAGGTTAACCAATTGTCGTATTCTATGTAGAGTCCTTGGTGCTTTCAGGTTTACCTACTAGAAAGGGAATATGAAGAATTTAGAGTGTGTTCCTTCTTAAGATTCAAAACCACAACACCACATGTCACTGTGTTTACCTGTCTATAAGACTATAAAATACTAATTTAGGAAATAGACTTTTATTTTAAAAGCTTAATACAATAAAAACACTGTAATCTATTGTGTTGGGGGCATTGACAGCAAACAATCATTTGTTGCATGAGATTTTTTGACACTCACCCCCAAGTCAATAGGAAAATTCTGAAACAGCTTTTATTCCAGAAAAAAAAATTCTAAGCATAGCACTGCATTTATCTTCAAAATCATTCCCATACAGTAGGCAGGGTATTCCACCTTACATATGGAGAAACTGAGGCTCAGAAGTTAAACAATTTGCCTAATATCATGAGTAGCACAGCTACGACGAAATTAGGTCCATAGACAATTAGGCTAGTGTGCTCCAGGTACTCGACTAGACAGAATTCCCCAGTACCAATGAGCCTATTCCATATTCCAATCTTTCTTTCCACTTCTTCAGTATTGAGCTTTCCTAGTGTGTTCACGATTCACACACAAATACCACTACTAACGTTAAAAAAAAAGTGAGTAATGGACTCACGATGCATTTGTAAAAATGTCTATCTTAAAATTAGCATTTTTAATACCCCTCAAGATAGAAAACAAAACAAACTTCTGTTGTAAACATAAGCTCCTGCCTGGATCACGACACTTTAGTTTTTCTCCACTACATTTACATATGCTTTGA